GTTTAGTTTTGTGGGCACAAAGTAGCCACAACATTAATGTGTGGCATGTTGATCTGCATGTACGTTCTGAGGGTACGCAGATACATACCACACAAGACAAGCCTGTGTGTAATACCGATTCTTTTGTTTTATTACTACATGTATAAACAAGCCATTCATGGCACAGTTCCCATAAGTTATTAAATCTAAGTTATATAGCTTTGTTTATAGTAATATACTGTAGAATACTTTATTTTAGCTGGAATTAATTTTTGCTGAAAAGACTTTTTGGGTGTTTTGTATGTATTTTCACTGAATTTTGACAAGTTGAATGTAAAATATAGGAAAAAAGGTATATCCACTGTATTTTATTTTCATCGGATCATTTCTTCAGCGAAAATAAAGTATTTTACAGTAGTACAAGTACTTATTCATTTTGGGAAATAATGCTCTGAAACAGCATTAATTAAAACAAAATGGCCACCAGTCGGCCATTTTGAATTGGATTGTCAAACCAATACATCTGTATATTTCTAACATGATGTATAATGAATAAATATAAAATGTTAGCATCAGTCAAAGCATATCAGATATATAGCACTAGAACCATATTCATTAAAACAAAATGGCTGCTAGTCGGTAATCTGATCAGAAAAAAATGAAAAATAAAAAAAATAATGTGCATCAGGAACCCATAATGTCTGATGTATGTACCAAGTTAGAACTACATTCATTAAAACAAAATGGCCTCCAGCCTGTTATTTTGAATCTTCTCTGAAAACAAAAATGATGTGCATCAAGGTCCCATAATGTCCAATGTATGTACCAAGTTTGAACAAAACCTATCTGTAGTCAAAAATGCTTGATTTCGATGATTTTCCAGTAGAAAAATGGCTGCCATTCGGCCATCTTGAATCAGATCATGAAACAAATTAATGTGCATATGTACAATATTATTTATAATGTATGTGTGAAGTTTGAATGTAATTGGTCCAGGCATGTCTAAGTCTGGACACACACACGCACACACACACACACACACACAGGTCAATCCATAAGTCCCCGTATTCGAACTACGTTCGAACGAAAACTAATAAAACCATTAACCTAGCAGTAAAACTAGTTTTCAGTGGGGAATATTTGGAGATGTCAATAGAACAAATTAAGCAAGAAGCTAGGTCAGGTTCAATGTTGTTAGGCCCAAAATTAAATCTGTCGTTTAGTATACTTACAATAGTTTGAACATTGTGATTAAACGTACACACTTTGTGATACTGGGAGATGCTGAATTATTCTAAATAAGTTTGTTTTCGATATTTTATAAACCCAAATCATTGTTGTAAAAAGACCGCAATCTTGAGTTTGCAGTCCACCGTCTTAAACATGTTGGAATGTGCTATTTTTGACTGACAGGCAGGATTGTTGACACATCAACACTTTCCTTCAGTGACTACTCGCACGTTTCATTTTCAAAGGATATGCTTCTCTTTCAGTGGATTATTTAAAAGATCTGCTGTTAGCAATGCACATTTCAATTAAAGAATTGAAAATATCATTACAAAATTAACAAATCTGAGAGAGATCAACCTGTAGAACTTTTAAGTAAAATATACAATCAATAAGACTTGCGGTTTTTAATAAGAAGTCAAAAATATCATATTTTACCAACAATATTTAGATAATTGAAGACATTACGAAATGAACAAATCTAAGAGAGTATCAAAGTATCAAAGCATTCAGTTCGAAAAGTAACAAGCCATGCATGGCACAGTCCCCATTAGTTTATAGTAATATAGTTGGAATATAACCATGTCAGGAATGTGATTATGATGATTGTTTAACATTAAAATGACTGAAATTTGTATCTGATCATCAAACGAGTACTTGTTCACGTTGAGAGATATTGATCTGGAACAGCATAAATTAAAACAAAATCAGCCATTTTAAATACATCTATAACATGATGAATAATGAATATATAAAATTTGAACATAATTAGTCAAAGCATGTCGGAGAAATGGCTCTAGAAGCCCATTCATTAGAACAAAATGGCCGCCAGTCAGCCATTTTAAATCCAATCTGAAAAATAAAATAACGTGCATGATGAATCCGTAATGTCTAATGTATGTACCAAGTTTGAACAAAATCCATCCATAAATGCTTGATACTTGATGATTTTTTAGCACATAAATGGCCACCATTCGGCCATTTTTAATAGGATCGTCAAACCAATATATCTGTATATCTATGACATGATGTATAATGAATATTTGAAATTTGAACATAATCAGTCAAAGCAAGTCAAAGATATGGCACTAGAACCGCATTCAATAAAAATTTTATCTGAAAAACGAAATGATGTGCATCAAGGTCCTATAATGTCCAATGTATATACCAAGTTCGAACAAAATCCATCTGTAAACAGCCAAGAAATGCTTAATTTTGATGATTTTTCAGTACTAAAATGGCTGCCATTCGGCCATCTTGAATCAGATCGTGAAACAAATTGATGTGCATATGTATAATTGTCATGTATGATGCATGTGTGAAGTTTGTGATTGGTCCAGGCATGTCTAAGATACAGATCTGGACGCACGCACACACGGAAGCACGTAGGTCAAAACATAAGTCCCCAGACTAAAATGTTGACATGGACGTGGAATGCCGACGGACAATCACTCATATGATAAGCTCCATTTGACAAAGTCAACAGTGGAGCTAAAAACCTGATAAACCAGTCTCCCCTATTTTAATTCCAT